CACTAAAGGTTGTCCTCTGAGTTACACACACACACACACACACACACACCACACAATCCTTCCACACACCAACACACACCCTTGCACACATATGCACGAAACAGTGAACAAAAAAAAAGTGGCCTTCATTTTTAGGATGTGTGTGTGTTCTGAAAGTCACTTGAACATTTTTCTAGCACTGATTTTAAAAAGAGCTTTAAGAAATTGAGCAAACATCACACAGGCCTTTCTAAATCACATTATCATTCTTATCTCTTATCATCTCTGTCCTAAGACTGAAAACATAGTGGGAGGGGATTATTTTTCAATAATCCCCTTAGGATCAACTATTTGGTCCTGACAGTAGGCAGCTGAATGAATGAGAACAACCTTTTTTTTTTTTTTTTTTTTTTTTGGGAATTTTGATTTATTAAAACATTTTTTTTTTTTTTTTTTTTTTTTTTGGCAATTTTGACTTATTAGAAAGTCTCTCTTTGAAGATTCTTGTTCTCTTCTGGTTATAGCATCTCTTATAGGGTATGAGACAGTGTCGTGGAGAGTTCTATTTTGTCCTGCACAGAGTCACCAAGAGAGATAGCAGTGGAGTCCCATACAAACCATGTTTTCTGTTTCTTTATGACCTAATTAAACTGTTATGCTCTGTTTTCCCCAGAGGTCCCAGCTGATGGTGATTTTTCCAAAGCTTCTGATCTCTTAAATTGCCTGTGCATCAAAATAGCTCCCCATGGCCATTATTGGAAACACCTTGAAATAACTGAATTACATTAGTGAGGAAACTAGTTTGTAAGGAAAAGCTGTTGCCTCAGGATGTAGACCAAAACAGGCCTTCATCCTGGAGAAGCAGAAGCTTTTCTGCTTTTTAAGCCAGCGGGGGGAAATCCAATAAAAGCGTGTCTCCCGTGGGCTTCAGCATCATTAGCATCCTGGCTTCACACCTAGGCTGTAACAAATGATTCATTTTAAAATTTTCTCCAGGGAGATGACAAGAAGCCAAAAATATCTTGGAAGAAATCTTACCTTAGCAACCTTATTTGGCAGCTTCGTATATTGTCTAAAATTTAACTTTAGGGAGTAGAATCTTTGAGATTGTTTTAGTTTCTGATCTTAGATACTGAACTATCTTCAGTACTCATCAAGGAGAGAAAAGAGTAATGTCCTATATGTAAGTAGTATTTCTTAGTTTTCACAGAACACTCATTATAAAGACAACTTACAATTGTTCACCTACACAGGCTGGACACTGGATTGTTTTTATGTGAATTCAATCATTAATACAATCCTAAATAGTCATTGGTATTACAGGTCCCCTTTTACTAATAGAAACAAGTTTAAGGAAGTTAAACAAGTTGCAGGAAGTTATTTAGTTAGTAGATGGTTAAAAGCAGATCTTTCTGATCTTGAGGTCCATGGGCTTACTTCACTTTAAGGGTCTTAAAATGTGAAAAAGAGATTTTTTTTTTCAGGGGTAGGAGAGATGGCTCGGTGGTTAAGAGTACTAACTGCTCTTTCAGAGGACCCAGGTTCAATCCAGCTCACAGCCTGGAGGACCTGATGCCCTCTTCAGGCTCCTGGGCTCTGTGGGCCATGAGTACAGTGATGCAGGCAGAGCGCCAAGTAAGAAGAAAAGGAATTCTTTTCCATGTACAAAATTCCCTTCGTCTCTCTCTGCTGTTTGCCTTCCTCTTTCCCTTCTTTTGGGACTCATTGATGTGCTAGACTGGTTGGCCAGAAAGTGCTAGAATTACAGGCATGCACTGCCACATCCAGTGACACTATGGACTAACCCCAAGACTTCATGCATGCTGAGAAGCACTCTACCAACTGAGCTACAATCCTTTATTCCTTTTCTTTTTGTTACTGTAAAATTTATTGTTACTTTGTTTCCACCATCGAAACCTATGATTTTTGTCTTTCTTTTACATATAGCCAAAAGAGAACAATTGGTTACTTTACCAGCCTTAAAGTGATCTCATGGGTTTGGAGATGTAGCCCAGTTAGCAGAATGTTTGTTAAGCATGCAGGAGGCTCTGGGTTTGATCTATAGAACCACGCAAACCAGGCTCATGTGCAATATTTCATTATATATGACAGGATTCTTCACACTTTATTATTGATTTATTGTGTGTGTGTTTGAATGTACTGTCCACCACACATGTAAAGGTCATATTTAAAAACTTTATTTATTTATTTATTTATTTATTTATTTATTTATTTATTTATTTAGAGGAGGAGGAGGGCTGGCACAATTGTGAAGGTCAGGGGACAATCTGCAGGAGTTGGTTCTTTCCTTCTGCCATGTTGGTTCCTGAGACAGAACTTAGATTTTCAGATGTGGCAGCAGTGCCATTACTTGCTGAGCCATCTAACTGGCCTGAGAAGGAATTAAATTATTTTTATCCTTTTAAATTTTATTATTTAAAGACTGAGCATGATGGCGCATGTCTTTATTGCCAGTGCTCCAGCAGAGGCAGAGGCAGGTGGTGGATTTCTGTGAGTTCAGGGCCAGCCTGGTCTATACAGTGTGTTTCAGGACAGCCAGAGCTCCATAATAGAGCCTGCCTAAAAAGATATTTATTATTTAAATTTGTATGTATGTGCGTGTTTTGCCTGTATGCATATATGTGCACCGTGTGCATTTCTGTTTACCACAGAAGTCAGAAGAGGGTGCTGTATTCCCTAGAACTGGAGGTAGGTTGTGTGCGTGGGTGGATGGTGTGTGTATGGGAGGTGGGTGATTGGAGCATGGGAACTGAATCCAGGTCACCTTCAAGAGCAGTCGGCACTCTTTACTGCTGAGCCATCTCTCCAGTCTCTAAAAGAATTATTATTATTTTATTTTGAGACAGGATTTCTCCCTGGGGCCCTGGCTGTAGAGCAGGTTGGCCTCAAACCCACAGAGATCTACCTGCCTCTGCCTCCCGAGTGCTGGGATTAAAGGGGTGTGCTATCACCACCCTGCTCCCAACAGAATTCTTAACTGCTGGTTAGCACTCCTGTTCTTCAGTGGTAGGAGGAGGAGGAGGAGGAGGAGGAGGAGGGGGAGGGGGAGGAGGGGAGGGGAGGAGCTTTGTCAAACAGCATGCCGCTCTTCTCAGAAGATACCTTGTATACATATATACAGTTGTATAGATTTTTATTTTCCCTGGGGTCAGGAGAGGAGATAGTGGGTTTATAGGCCCTTGGCCAGTGTCTACAAGTTAGTAAAGTTTGAATAAGAGCTGAGGATGTATTCAGTTGGTAGAGCATTTGCCTACCATGCACAGTCCTAGCCTAACTTCCATCTTCACCACCCCATAAGCCAAGCCTGGTGCTACATGCCTGCAATCAGGATACTCAAAAGAAGAACGCAAGGTGAACTGGAGGAAATTCCAGTTCACCCTTCTCACCATGGTGCGTTTAAGGATGGCTTATAAAAACTTTCTCAAAAACAAAACAAAACAAAACAATTTTGCCCACGCATGTCTAGGGTCTTTGCCACGTAGGACTGCATGTGTCCCAGGATATCTATAAATGTGGCCCAACACATTTGTGGAAGACAGTGTCATGTAACAATGTCAAAAGACTCAACAGCTCTGCTTGAACACTTTAGTTTTAAAAACTTATTTTAAAAGTATTTGTTAAAATTTAATTTGATGCATATGAGTGTTTCCTCAGCATGCAAGCCTGTGCACCGCGTGCATGCCAGGCGTCGGTGGAGGCCAGAGGAGGGAAGATCCCCTTGTACTGGAGTCACAAACGGTTGTGAACTGCCTTGTGGGTGCTGGAAATCGAACCGAGGTCCGCTGGAAGAAGCAGCGGGTAGGCCTAACCGCACAGCCATCTCCTCAGCCCCTACAGACGAAAGAAAGAAAGAAAGAAAGAAAGAAAGAAAGAAAGAAAGA